GTTCCTTAGAATGGTCCTGGAAGTCCAACTGTGGCTGCACCACACGGCAGAGGCTGAGAACTCAGTAGTTGCTCCGTCTGTGAGGCGAGAAGTCTGAGCAGTCCCATTCTGACCCTGGAAGCCTGGAGGACCCCTGGAGAACTGCTGCGCTCAGGCCGCTCTGGAAACCTGAAGAAGCTGGCTCTTCTATTGGGGAAGGAACGTGGCAGCCGCGAGGCAGATGAACTTGCCCCAAGAGTGCAGCCAGGCAGGCAAAAAGTGAAGCATCCTTCTTGGTCCTTTTACCTGGGCTGCCACCGAAAGGTGCTGCCCACAGTTCAGATGGATCTGATCAAGAAAGTTCAAATAATCTGATCAAGAAAGTCTCTCAACAGAGCAGTACCCACAGGCTTGCATTTTAGCTGATTCCAGATTCAGTCACGTTGACGTGATTTGCCATGGTAAGGTCTGATATGGTGTTTTGATAGATGTTTACAACAATGTTTGAAGGGTTTTACTTCCGGCTGTACAATCCACGTAGAAAGAGAAGGCGACGACGTGAACAGAGACACAGAAGCCCTGTGGTCAGAGATGAATGTGTGGTGTTGGTTCAAGTCCGACAGTGATGGAAGTGCAGCTGCTGAATTCCTGGGCGGTTGTGGCTTGAGCAGTGGGGCCCAGGCACTTCCTCTGGTAGAGAGAGCACATTGTGTGAAACTTCCCCTTTGGCAGCAGAGCCGTAAGTGTCTTTTATTTGTAATGACTGTTGTGAGTCCTTCAAGTCACCGTACAAGTGAGAGTGCTGAGCGTTAAACCTTGGCCCTGCTTTTGGCTGGGGCAGCCAGCAGCTGACAGACCACAGGCTGTGACTGAGTGTCATGTCCTGTTCACTAGGCTGTGGTTCACTCTGATGTCCCGAGGAGTGACTGCATCCTTAACTCTTTATTAGAATTCGCTATTGCGGAGCTTAGATGGTGTATTGCAATGTGCGTGGGTGTTGGAGTTTGACAGACTTTGCTCAATTCCCTGACATCTGCACTCAGTACATAGGAGTGTAAATGGAGCCAGAGCTCGCCCTGCTTCTCACCACAAATACCAGTGAACAGAGACAATAATCGAATCTTTAACCTCACTTTATTCAGAGTGGGTGATCTGAGAAGGCGGGTTAACACTGTGAGAACACACTGTTTTCCCTGTCATCTCCAGCCAGCAGACTTCATAGGAATGGGGCCAAAGGCAGCCAGCGTTCCAGAGCAAAGTCTCCCCACTCAAGCTGGGTGGTCAGCTACACTTGTGAGAACGATGATCTCTGGTCTTATTCTTACCCTTTGTACTCTTTCCTCATTTTCTGGACATTTGAGCTCATTCATGTCTTATAAAACTGAATCTAGTTAGTGTCTGCCCATATTAACCATGTGGACCTCCAGGCGCCACCTGGGCTAGAGGTAAGTCAGAACAAACAAGCCACTAATGGTATGTGTGTGTGCTAAGCCATTACTAACATGTAAATGGTGTGTATGTGCTAAGCTGTTACTAACATGTAAATGGTGTGTATGTGCTAAGCTGTTACTAACATGCAAATGGTGTGTATGTGCTAAGCTGTTACTAACATGTAAAAAGTGTAGATTCCTTTCTACAACATGGAATAAAAGTGCCCCTATCCAGCCTCCCATCCTATGTCACATGTGTCTGAGTTAGAGTTTCGCAAATGGTGTGTATGTGCTAAGCTGTTACTAACATGTGAATGGTGTGTATGTGCTAAGCTGTTACTAACATGCAAATGGTGTGTATGTGCTAAGCTGTTACTAACATGTAAAAAGTGTAGATTCCTTTCTACAACATGGAATAAAAGTGCCCCTATCCAGCCTCCCATCCTATGTCACATGTGTCTGAGTTAGAGTTTCTCTTTTCATGTCTTGACATTGAGGTAACAATGATATAGTCACTTTGAACTGTATCATTGCTGACATCATCATCATCACCATTGGAATGGGTACCATTTATTGACTTCTTTAGCATGAATTGGAAGTTATTCCAAGTGTTTTACATGGATTGGCCCCTAACTCCCTCAATGGCATACCAGCAGCACAGCCATGCTGATCTGAATCATGGACTCTAATGTCTGGCATTTTACAGGTGCAACTTATTATTACAACTTAGTAACAGTTGAATCTACACTGAATATAGGCTAAATGTTGTCGATTACTTTTTGAAGAATAACAATTCTAAAATGTCCTCATTGGAGGGAATTAACATTTCAGTTTATGTAGTCTGGGGATTTCCATAACTGTTAACCTAGAATTTCTTGTTCCCATGATCTATATGCCAGAATACAAAAGCATGACTGTTCTATGTGAGCAGGGTCTGGGGGTCATGAACTCTGACTGTTTACCTGGGCTGAGGATGCCCAGCAGCAGTTTCAAAATCTCCACTGTCACCCATTCTCCATGTGCACACTGAGACGCAAGGCAGGGAACCGTGTTTGTTAGCTGTAGACTCTACATATGAGATTCTGGATTCTTAGGTGCACTGTTCCCTGTGAGAAAACAGTAATATGTAATGTGGAAAAATAATTATTATCCACAAAATGTTCTGATTTACAAATGACAGAGCCCCTTCATACGCCTCGTATTTTAACTTCACAAATTTGAATAGCCTATTCCTCCTAATTCCACCTCCAAATGCTGTGTAATATATAAACTACTTTTTAAAGTAAATTTGGTAGATGCACTACTAGAGAAGTGGGGGACGGAGGTGGGGTCAGAGACCAGCCATCCTGAAGTAGTGTGATGTCACTGAAATTCAGAAGTGCACTGGGGTTGGTATTTGCCCCCACAGAGGTTTCTGGTCTCTTTTGGACACAGTGTAAGAAAGAAGTCAGGAAACAGCCTAGGTCTAGTGTGAGATGCTTGAGCACAAATCTTGCAGCTCGGTTCCCTCAGGAGGTGAACTGGAGAAAGCCCCTGTGAAAAGATTTGCCTGTTAAGTCTGGAGTCTAGCTTGGGTTCTAGAGAAGGAAAGTTTACATTCTGGAACACTGAGGACTAGAGTATGTCCTAGCCACATGGCTCAGTTCTCACCCCAAGGCAAAGGTGTAGTTTGAAGTGGTCTCCTGTTGCTCATTCCTTCAGGCAATTTGACAGAAGCTAACAGTTTTAAAATCCAAGGTTGAAGTAAGTTCCACAGATTAAATTTCAAACAATATGCGTTCACAAATGCAAGAATCACGTAAAGCAAAAGAAAAGAAACTATCAAGTATGATACTCAATGTAAACAACCAGCTGCAGAATTACATGCACAGAGACTGAAGCTTTTGAAAGTATCCTAATTATGTATATGGAATGTGTTTCAAGAAATAAAAGAATATAATTAAAAGATGAAAGTATGAGACTCTCAGATTTGTCAATCAGATCACAAAAGAATTGCACTGAATTCCAGACAATAAAAACATAAATAAATTTGAAACGATGTGACTGAGGCAAAATATGACACCACTCAAAGAATCAGTGAGCAGAAAGGTACCTGGGGGACATCACCTGGGGCTCAGCATAGGCAGAGCCAAAAAGATACTGACCATCTGACAGCCAGTCAGAGAAGCAGGGAAGAAAGCCTATCATGTCATCCAAATTCAGAGGGAGTGTTGAAGAGGATGGCTGAGGACACAATATTGAGGGTTCCACAGTGGTAGAAGATTTTGCTACGTCCAGACATCCCAAGGACTCCTCAGTGTGGAAACAAATTACACCCTTGAACCTTACAGTAAAAGCAAAGAACAGAACCCAAATCCACCCAACCCAACCACCCACCAACCAGTCAGCCAGTCAAACAGTTCCTTAAAATAGTCACCGAAAACAGGTTACCACAAGAGGAGAAATAACTGTTTGATTTCAACTGCCCTACGAGCAACAATAGGAAAACTATGAAAACAGAATCACGTGTTCAGATGTTGAGAGAATCACGTTATACAATAAACTACTTTTAAAATATGAAGATAGTGTTATTTATTTAGAGTCTTGCTGTAATATAGCTTAGGCTGGCCTTGAACTTGTGACCCTCCTGCCTCAGCCTCCCTCGCTCCAGTGCCCACAATGTGGTCAGAGTATAGTGTACATACCACAGCACCCAGCTTGGACATCTTAAAATAAATAAAAGTTGAATTCAGACTATTTCAAAAGATCCTCAATAAAAATATGTCTAATGGAAGAAAATTGATTATCCTGAGAGGGATCGCAAGAATTCTGGAAGGAATGTTCAGCAAAATTTCAAAATTGTGTTAAAAAAGTGTGTCCTGGGAAATGTGTTTATGAATATTTTGATTGTCTTAAATTTTTTTAGCAGTCTTGTTTATATTTTGGCACATGCAATAACTCCGTTGGTTGGTAGTAACATATATAAAAGTAAATTGTGGACTGTACATACCATGAACTACTATACAACAGTGACAAATGAATATCCCCAAACATTAACATGGTCCTAGGATGTATGAATTTGAGGAAACATAAATACAAATATGTATACTATGAACAGAAATGTAAGTATGTATGAACTTTAAAATGGGCAGAGCTGAGTGTTTAAGAATAAGCACCAATGTGTGACAGAATTATAAAGTCGTATAACACAGTGATGCTTGGGAGGAGGATTCACTGTGGAGATGTATCCACATATCAATAACGTTCTCATTAGGTTAACTTTATCTTATATAGTTGTGTATTTGTGTTACACATTCTTTTCTACATATCATAAATTTCACAATAAAAGAGGCAGACTGTCAGGATCAGCACGGTTGGGATTCCAGGTACGAACAAGTGTAGCCAGTCTCAGTAGAAGAAATAATCTCCCAGACACAGGACGGTCTAGAGCTGCTCAGTTCTAGGCCCAGCTCCCTTCTCAGTCAGGCCTGCAAACCACCAGGGCCTGCTTTCCGCACATGGACACGGCACAGAATGCCTCATGCTTCATTGTTCCGATGCTCTGCTCCTACATCGTTTCTGGGTGTAAAACTGTGCTTTGGTGTCTTCCAGGTCATAACTTCTGTGCAGAAGCCCCTAAGTGTGGGGAAAACTCCGAGTGCAAGAACTGGAATACAAAAGCCACGTGCGAGTGCAAGAACGGCTACATTTCTGTGCAGGGAAACGCTGCATACTGTGAAGGTAAGGCTCTTAAAGAGACCGTGGCCAGGAGGCTGGGAGGCGAGGCCGCGGCTCCTCGGGACGGGGAGTCGCCTGCCCAAGGTGACCTGTTCTGTTGCGTTACCCAGGCAGGTTCACCAGCGAAGCTAAGGCATGTGTAGCAACATAGCACATCCCTGCTCTATACGGGAACTGCCACAGACACATCGTTCTGCATAACTGTTAGCGGGGAGGGTCATCTTCTAGGCCGTGTGACATCGTGAGTTCTCCAAGTGACAGCTTAGACCCAGCTGTCATCGTCACTTGCTGAGGGCAGAATTTTTCCTACTTGAGTTTTTTCTTTTTGGCTTTTTAAGATAAGGTCTCACTACATAGCCCCAGCTGGCCTGAAACTTGCTATACGGACCACCCCAAGCTGGCCTCCACCTCATAGTGATCCTTCTACCCATGCCTCCGGAGTGCTGGGATCAAAGTTGTGGGCCACCACACCTGGCCTCAGTTGAGTTTCTTTCTTTTCTTTTTATTTTTTGAGACAGAGTCTCCCTTTAGTGGGGCTGACCTGGAACTCACTATGTAGACCAGACTGGCCTTAAACACAGAGAGATTTGCCTGCCTCTCCCTCCCAAGTGCTGGGTGGGACTGAAGGCACGCACCGCCATGCCCAGCCTCAGTTGAGCTTCTTGATGAGTGATTCGTGTGCTGTCCTTTACCAGTCTTCACCGGGAAGTGCAGTGGCATGACTCATAACTTGGACCTGTGAGCTGATGTGACAATAGGTCTGTGGCCTCCAGCACCATGGACGCTGTGCTCCACAGGTCCAAACAACTTTTCTGCCATCTGGGAAATTCTGCCAAGCTTGGTGCCCTACCCCGCTGCTGCTGAGCCTTGCCTGTTCCTGTTACTTTAACATGCGAGGAGTGTGGTTTGCTCTGATCCTGCTCATGGTATCAGAACCCAGCCACGTCTAAGGTGCTGACTGGCTCCCCTTAGAGGAGTTCTGCTAGGCAAAGCGATGTTTGCATCTCCTGGTTCTATTTCATTCGTTCTTTTCAGCTTTAGTGAGAAAGTATCGCGCCATGGTGACCTGTTAGAAAGGCAGCTTTCTGGAACTGAACGCTGCAGGGTCGGGTCACTGCCCTGTGAGCCGCTTGTTCTGAATGGGGTCAGGGCTTCTCAAGATAAAGACAGTGTTCCTGGGTAACAGTAAGGGTAAATGTCTGTCATTCCGGGTTCTATGTTACTGACCCCTGCTTAACCTTTTGTCTTGTCTTGAAGAGCTGTTCAGTCCTTAAGGAAAGTATCTACCAGTTCCCAGTGACCTGTTCCTGGTGGGTGGTGCTTCTGCCTTCCTGGTCACGGCCGTCTTCTGACTAGCAGAATTCTTCTTGTCATGGCCGTCTTGACTAGCGGGGTTCTTCCTGGTCATGGCCGTCTTCCAACTAGTAGGGTTCTTCCTGGTCATGGCCATCTTCTGACTAGCAGGGTTCTTCCTGGTCATGGCCGTCTTCTGACTAGTGGGGTTCTTCCTGGTCATGGCCGTCTTCTGACTAGCGGGGTTCTTCCTGGTCATGGCCGTCTTCCGACTAGTAGGGTTCTTCCTGGTCATAGCCGTCTTCTGACTAGTAGAGTTCTTCTTGTCATGGCCGTCTTCTGACTAGCGGGGTTCTTCCTGGACATGGCCGTCTTCCAACTAGTGGGGTTCTTCTTGTCATGGCCGTCTTCTGACTAGCGGGGTTCTTCCTGGACATGGCCGTCTTCCAACTAGTGGGGTTCTTCTTGTCATGGCCGTCTTCTGACTAGCGGGGTTCTTCCTGGACATGGCCGTCTTCCAACTAGTGGGGTTCTTCTTGTCATGGCCGTCTTCTGACTAGCGGGGTTCTTCCTGGACATGGCCGTCTTCCAACTAGTGGGGTTCTTCTTGTCATGGCCGTCTTCTGACTAGCGGGGTTCTTCCTGGACATGGCCGTCTTCCAACTAGTGGGGTTCTTCTTGTCATGGCCGTCTTCTGACTAGCGGGGTTCTTCCTGGACATGGCCGTCTTCCAACTAGTGGGGTTCTTCTTGTCATGGCCGTCTTCTGACTAGCGGGGTTCTTCCTGGACATGGCCGTCTTCCAACTAGTGGGGTTCTTCTTGTCATGGCCGTCTTCTGACTAGCGGGGTTCTTCCTGGACATGGCCGTCTTCCAACTAGTGGGGTTCTTCTTGTCATGGCCGTCTTCTGACTAGCGGGGTTCTTCCTGGACATGGCCGTCTTCCAACTAGTGGGGTTCTTCTTGTCATGGCCGTCTTCTGACTAGCGGGGTTCTTCCTGGACATGGCCGTCTTCCAACTAGTGGGGTTCTTCTTGTCATGGCCGTCTTCTGACTAGCGGGGTTCTTCCTGGACATGGCCGTCTTCCAACTAGTGGGGTTCTTCCTGGTCATGGCCGTCTTCTGACTAGTGGGGTTCTTCCTGGTCATGGCTGTCTTCTGACTAGCGGGGTTCTTCCTGGTCATGGCCGTCTTCCAACTAGTGGGGTTCTTCCTGGTCATGGCCATCTTCTGACTAGTAGGGTTCTTCTTTTCATCTTTTTCCTTTGCTTGCAAGCATTTGAATTTGAAGAGGACACACCCCTTGGCCCTTGGAGAACCAGTTGCTTCTTCCACCACAGAACTTTTCATCTGCCCTTGAGTTTCATCTCAGCTATTTGTTAATTTAGGGAAGAACATGATTGATTTCAGTACTTCATATTAAATCATTTTTTAAGATATCTTACAGTATTTTCCACTTAATTGGAAGATTTTTAAATGTGAACTCTCTTTCCTTCATTCACCATGGGAAAAGCTGACAAGCCAGATAATAACTCAAAAGATTTTCTGTTTCACCTGCTAAATGTGGAGATAGACTCAACCATTGTAGAGCTGGTAACGAGCTACAGGCGGGATGGTTTGCAGAGGGTGAAAGCCATGTCCAGTCCTTTAATTTCAAGTGCTGCTCTTGGCATTTCCTGAGCTCTGAGCTAAGAATTTCTCTCCAGTGTCATCTGGTAGGTGACCTGAGAGGTGGGCACCAAAGACCCCCGAGACTCACTGTCTTAGTCTAGCCTAGGGACAGCTACATACGTGTGTGGACTGTTGGCAAGTTGTTCTTCACCCTGAGTAAAAGTGTGGGGTGGAAACATGACCCGTGTTATAGAAGACACTAGGAACAAGGCCGGCTTGCAAATTAAAACAAAATATTGTATGTACTCTCTAGGTGATCTTGAAAAACCCATTCAGACTCTTAGTGGAAAAAGTGTCACAAAAGGCTTTCATTTTTTGTAACGTCCCAGGTATTAGCAGAGCTGTGACCTAATAAGGACTCTGGCTCTGCAGAGATTGTTGGATACTGCTGCTGAGAAGACATCTGAAAGCTGGCCATCAATGCACGATAAGACCTTTTGTCAGCGGGGGCCAATTCACCAGAGGTGGTTCTGTTCTGTCTTGTGTGACTGAGGCACGAACAGTTGGACCTGGTGCCTCTGCTTTTTCCGTTTGTGACGCTGTTTTCAGTGAGTTGGTCTTAAGCAGGTTCTGGCACATTATTTCAAATTAGAAGTTGGGAAAGTACAGCCCAAGGGGTCCTGCTGGTTCGTTCTTGACTGGGATTGGAGTCTACTTCACCCTGGAGTAAGAAGCTGTTTGGAAGCATAAGGAGTAACATGATGTCATATGAGTTATAAATAAGAATGATTAACAGTAAGTGGCCAGATCTTTGTTACAGAATGGTCTCTGAGTTTTCTAGGCTCCTTTGATATTTGTTACCCTTTTTGAAGCTTAGGTAAATCTATGAGGAGCTTAGTAGCACTGGCTACCATCAACTCCGTTTTACACTGTGAACACTAACAGTCTGAGAAATCCAGCAAAGACAAAACTCAATTCCTTTCTGCTCCATGTTGGCCTGATGCCCTGACTTACACCCTCCTGACCTCCCGGTGCTCACACTATTCCAATGTCCTATGCTTGCTAAAAATACTTGTTGCTTCTGTGATTCATCCCACCGACGTCCAGTTTAGCTAAAGAATTGTAGTTGGATGGGGCTGGAGAGATGGCTCAGTGATTAAGAGTCTGTGCAGCTCCTCAGAGGACCTGAGTTCAGTTCCCAGCACCCACATCAGGTGGTTCACAACCATCTGTAACTCCAGTTCTAGGAGATCAGATATCCCTGACTTCCATAGGCACTGCGTTCAGTTGCACCCACCCCAGATAATTAAAAAATGTAATAAAAAATATGGTAAATGTGAATGGCATGTGCTGTTTCGGAGTGGAGGCTTTAAGAAATTTTGCACACTCCCACCTGATTTTCTTTTCTCTTTGACATAACCTAGTAATGTGCCAGATCAGGGCTTTTCCTTTAGTAAGGGTTCCAGCACAAAATGGCATGGAACAGATGACATTTGACTGGTGATGGACAGAAATGTGGCATGCGTGATAAACAGTGTTTTGTACTATTAAAGTTTGCAGGTTCGTATGGTAGTGGGCGAGTGTTGCCTTTCCATAACCAAGCTGTTTACTGACAGACCCTGAATTAATTCATTCCAAACTTCTGGATTCAGAAGGATTGATGCTCACAACAAAAAGCAACTTTTAGAAGAACAGCTGTTGAGAATCAACAGAAAAGTCCAAACCACTGGAACCAGCAGTAGATCAGTGGTGGACCCTACCTTGTTGCAAGACCATATATATAAATTACAAATATATGTATGTATCTGTAATTTAGTGTTTTGTTATACCAAATCCAGCATAGGAAATTGGATTTCCCAGTCCACATGCTGAGACAATGCACAGCAAAAAATTAGCACATTTTCCAGATTCACTAAAGATTTAATGCTATAACATCATTTTTATCGACACTATTGACTTATGATATCCAGGCTTCTGAGGGTCCTTGTTACAACTGGTGGTGTGTGTGTTCATCGAGGCTAGTACCTTAAGAACTCATTTTCTCTCATCTGTAGATTTTGGGGAACTGGCAGGTCACAGGGACCAGGTTTTATCAATTCT